TTGAAAATACGATCAAATTTTGTCGCGCAGCAAGTATGTACAGGGTGAGTCAACGATAGAGTAAAGTCCATTATCTCTTTTGTTTCGAGGTTTACAAAAAAAAATATTAAATATAAAAGTTATAGGGACGGTTGGGATACACATTTTAAAATTATTATAGAGTACACAGGGTGCTTCAAAAAAGTGTGACGAATATAACATGTTTTTTTTAAATGGAATACCCTATTTTTTATTTTATTTTTAGATTTTGCGTAAAATTCCATAACTTTTTTGTATATAATGTTATATACCTAAAATTAATAGTTTCTGTAATATTTAAATTTGTTTAAACAAATGTTAGATTGCAGTGTGATAAAAAATTGTCAGTAATGGCATCGTTTCTGAAGTTGGAGAACCAAAATTTGCTAGGAGAATTTAATAGCGATATAGAAAAAGACCTATGTAAAAATATTTTAGTTAGATGCTACAGGGTGTTCAAAATATATTTATGAATTTCGACTACTTAAAATTGAGAAATTTCAAATTTTTTAAATGGTACACCCTGTATATTATCATTTTTTCTGATAGATTTTACAATACTCTTCAATTTTTGTTAACTATGTCATATAACCTATTTTTAAAAGTTTGCGATTTATTCCAATTTTTTCTATTTTTACCCATATTTTTATTACAATTACGCTATAACATCATAGTTACCATGACAAAAAGTAATAATTATCAAAATTTGTTGTCTGTTAAGCAAGTTAAGAACAAAATTTGAATTTTAGTTTAATGTGTTGTAATAAGTATAAATTAATTGTAGAGATAATAGTTACAGATTATATCCTGAAATGAATTAATCAATGTGACTGATATACACGAACAAGCCAAGAAAAACATATTTTTTGGTTCAGTACTATACAGACCGGACCACCGTAGTAGTAACATAGGCAGAACCGGACGAATTAGCGTATACTCGTCCGCCGGATATAAAGCAGGCGAAAAAATGCGATAAAATAAAAATAGGTAGATATGTGATAAGAATGTTTCAGAATTTGTATTTATTCGTGTTTTAATAGCCAAAACGAATACATAGATTCTCGCGACAGTTCTGGTGTAAAATTTATTTTTTAAGTAAAATAATGGATGTTTACGAAGTTCGTGAGAAAATTCAAATTGTAAAATGGTATTTCCAAAATAGGTCTTATCGGGATATAGAAACAATTTTTCCACAAACTTTTGTAAACAGGCCAATTCCATCTCTACCTACTATATCAAGAGTTATAAATAATTTTGAAACACATGGGTGCGTGTCCCCACAAAAACACAAAAAAAGCCTGATGTGTTGATTAATGAAGAACAGGAGTTAAAACAAGTGTTCATTTGTGCTACCGCGGATCAAAATCCCACGTTTTCAATTAATCAAATTGCTGAGGTGGTTGCCCTGCCCACAATGCTCGTATTGTTCAAGAATATTTGAACAATATTTTTCCCAACCGTTTAATTAGTGGACATGGAACTATTTTGTAGCCCGCTAGATCACCAGATCTTTCTCCCAATAATTTCTTTTTGTGGGGTTATGTAAAATTCAAAGTGTATGGTCATAATAGGGCTAATAATCTGGATGAGCTTCAAGTAAAAATACAAGAGGCTTTTCAAACTATTAGCCCTAATATGTTAGCCAATGTCAGACGGGCATTTTACGACCTCCTGTCTAGCACAAGAAGGTGGTCTTTTTGAACACTTAATAACTTTTTTTTATTTAGAGTAGGTAATATTTTAGTTTTTTTGGGGTTTAGAGAATTTATTTATTTTTAATATTGGCTTGTAAACACACTCAAATAATAAATACTTGGCACTCCTCGCGTCGTATTCCTAGTCTGTCACGACCGACCTGTCCAAGCACAACTGCAACTGCGTACTGCCTGAACAGCCGACTAGCCGGCAGTGAATCTCGAAGTACGAACGCAAATCGGGTAAACGTAAATTCGTCCGGCAACTTGCTATGTTACTAGTAGCCTGGTCTTCTCTGTATATTATATAGGGCTTTGCTAAGTAGTATAAGAATAGATGTAGATTATCTAGAAAATATATTCAGTGTGTAATGGGACGGTTTCACGGCAGTAGTAATATTGGCTTTATCAAATGAATTATAAACCAGAATTACTACGAGAAAAAAACTTTACTGTATGTCGAAAAAAATTCCTATATTAGTAGTCTTCAACAATTAGATAATCTAGTATTACCTTAATCTGTGGCTATCGCCCCAACGCGCGACGGAAAATCCAGGTGTCCTCTTTCATAATATGGAAATACACCAAGAAATTTACGACTGCGGTTTTAATTTATTTGAGTAAAGTTAATTAATTTTAACTAATACCAGCAATTGTAACTAATTATTAAGCTACTTGTTAAAGATAAGTAATAAATAGTTTGTTTTATCATGGCAACTATGATTTTATAGGGTAACTGTATTAAAAATATGGGTAAAAATAGAAAAAATTGGAATAAATTGCAAACTATTAAAAATAGATATATGACATACTTAATAAAAGTTGAAGAGAAAATCTATCAGAAAAAATGATAATATATAGGGTGTCCCAATTAAAAAATTTGAGATTTTTTAATTTTAATTAGTTGAAATTCATAAATATATATTGAACACTGTATCATTTAACTAAAATATCTTTATATATATCTTTTTTTTTCATCTTTATAAAACTCTCGTACCAAATTATGGTACTCCAACTTCAGAAACAATGGCGCCACTGACAATTTTTTACCACACTGCAATTTAACATTTGTTTAAACAAATTGAAATATTACCAAAACTATTAATTTTACGTATATAACATTATATATAAATAAAATTATATAAGAGTTTCTTGCCTTGAACTGCTAATATAGAAATTAATTCCACGCTGTGTTCGACATAATGTGGATCAACCTGCTCTAACTACCGGTTTCGGGGCCCTACCCCATCATCAGGTAAGCTTGGGTATTTCCACAATATGTCGAGCACAGCGCAGAGTATATAAAAACGACTTGTCGTAAAGTAGCGGTAAGATATTAAGTCCCGCATCGCGAGATATAGATATTGTGGAAATACCCAAGCTCACCTGATGATGGGGTAGGGCCCCGAAACCGGTAGTGAGAGCGGGTTGATCCACATTATGTCGAACACAGCGTGGAATTAATTTCTATATTAGCAGTTCAAGGCAAGAAACTCTTATATAATTTTATTATATACCTAAAAACTGCAAGAACTTTTTTTTCCATTATATAATTTGGGCTAGCCAAAAAAAGCCTTTATTTACTATCGATAGTTGTGCCTCGGTGGTACGAAAGTACTACTATTGCACGCAGGCCGCTATCTCGCGATGCGGGACTTAATATCTTACCGCTACTTTACGACAAGTCGTGTTTATATACTCTGCGCTGTGCTCGACATATTGTGGAAATACCCAAGCTCACCTGATGATGGGGTAGGGCCCCGAAAGCGGTAGTGAGAGCAGGTTGATCCACATTATGTCGAAACAGCGTGGAATTAATTTCTATATTAGCAGTTCAAGGCAAGAAACTCTTATATAATTTTATTATATACCTAAAAACTGCAAGAAATTTATTTTCCATTATATAATTTGGGCTAGCCGAAAAAGCCTTTATTTACTATCGATAGTTGTGCCTCGGTGGTACGAAAGTACTACCATTGCACGCAGGCCGCTATCTCGCGATGCGGGACTTAATATCTTACCGCTACTTTACGACAAGTCGTGTTTATATACTCTGTGCTGTGCTCGACATATTGTGGAAATACCCAAGCTCACCTGATGATGGGGTAGGGCCCCGAAACCGGTAGTGAGAGCAGGTTGATCCACATTATGTCGAACACAGCGTGGAATTAATTTCTATATTAGCAGTTCAAGGCAAGAAACTCTTATATAATTTTATTATATACCTAAAAACTGCAAGAAATTTATTTTCCATTATATTATATATAAAAAAGTTATGGAATTTTACGCTACAACTTTTATATTTATTTTTTTTTGTAAACCCCAAAACAAATGAGATAATGGACTTATCGTTGACTCACCCTCTACATAATAAAGGCTTAAACAAAATAAAGAACTGTGATTTTGTCAAATGGAATTTTGAAAGTCGAAAACTGACGTATTATAAATTCTCAAATGTTTCAATTCTGAATTATTACACAGAAAAAAAACATTATATTATTATATCAATAGTTAAAAAAACTATAAATCTTTAAATAAAAAGTTTGAAATAAAAAGTTTGGAGAAAAAACAAAACAAAAAAAAAGTAATGTGTTTCTGTTCATAAATGCAGGTTACTACTCTGAACACAGATTATTATTGTTATGCGAGCAAATGATTAAATGATTATCCTCTATCTTCTATATAAAAGATTTCAGCATAAATCGTAAATTGCCTTGTATCCTCGCGAGCAGCGAGCACGGTACGCCACACCCGGTGTTAGTTGCGTGCCGACTGAAGGTTGATTCTCACTATACCGTCCGTTTCCATTCCATATCCGTTCCGTATTTTTTTATTGTATTCACGCTATACGTAACCTTCCGTTCCGTATCAGTTCCATACTTTATATTGTAGAATTTATATCACTACGAAAGTTTTATTTTAAAAATTTGTATCTTTTGAAAAGATAATAGATTTAATTAAGAGGTGTAAAAACAAATAAATGCCAGCAAAATGTTAACAGACCTGGTACAAATGTAAGAATTTGACACCGCTGTTTTCTATACGCTTCAGTCCGTCCGCCAAAAAAATGTATGGAAGGATATGGAACGGAACGGATAGTGTGCATTGTCCTACTATTGTCCCCTTATAACGGAAGGGAAACGGAAGGGAGCTGATATGGAAGGTATAGTGAGAATCAACCTTAATCCTCGAGGATCGACAAAAATCCTCGAGACATGCCGAGAATATGAATACTTGAGTGATCCCATCACTAGTTTATGTTTGGTTACAACTGTATTTCTTCTTCAGGTGAACTTAGACTAATGAAGGAAGAACTCGCAAACATAGAAAAATTTAGAGGTCCCAAAGAACGTTCCTTAGCGCAATGCAAATCAAACTTGGAAGCCATGCAAACGACAAAAGAAGGTTTGGAGTCCGAACTTCATCAAGAATTACTCTCGTCTTTATCCGTTGCCGATCAGCAACATGTTGATACCCTAAATGATGATATACATAGGCTGCAACGCGAAAATAAGGATGCTTTCAGTACTAGAATGAAATTGGAAGCAGAAAAGAATAAGCTGGATAATTTGTTAACCAACAATTTAATTCGCAGAAGAGATGAGCTTTTACATGCCCTTCAGGTAATCTCTAGACAATACGGAGTGGCGCATCTCATTCTCCTCGGTTGATTTTACGAAAACGGAACGATGTAGAAACAAAATATTTTATGGGTATATGTGGGGAGGCAATGTGCACAATTTAAAATTATTTTGAAATATACAGGGTGTTTCAGAACTAAGATCCAGACCAAAGTAATATTTTTTCTTATGGAACACCCGGTATTTTATTTCATTTTTGGATTCTTGGGCCCAAAAAAAGGCATATATTATAAGGGTTAAATATGTTTAAAATCTTTGGTTTTTGAGATATTTAAAGATATTTAAATATGCATGCTACAATAGAATAGATTGTTAACACCCTGTACATTACTTTTCAGAATTAATTCTTCTGCTGAGTTTAAAGGTGGGGAAATAAACTTTACTGAACAATGTTATTGCTTCCTTAAATTTATACAGTGGTACCAAAAACTGCTGATCTATTTTAAGCATTTATTTTATATAAAAACTTTGTTATTTCAAATGCAACACCCTGTATTTTTTTAATTAAGTCGAAGCAAATTCAAATGCTCTTTCAAACTATATAGGGTTTTCTATACCTATCTAGCCCATTTTGGATTAAAAGCGATTTTTCAATAAAATGGTAATCAAAACGGCTGGTGTCGCCATGGCAATTTTCTAGTGACAGTTAGTAACTATTTTTAAAATCGACATTAGTTTATGGATTATTAGATTATTATGCATTACTATTTAGATTTCTAACAGTTTATTTAAATTTACTCACAATAGTTTAGTAAGTAGGTATTCATTATTTTATGAAGAAAAGTAAAGCAGTATCTGCTGGCGGAACGAATGGATATGTTACTAGTGATTTTATTTTGTGAGGAAAATTGCTTCTTATTCCCAAGGGCTTATGCTCAAAGATATCCAAATAGGAATCTTCCTGATAAGCGTTTCTTTGAAAAACTACTTGTCCTATTTCACAGAGCTAGTACCTAGTGTGGTTTATAAAAAAAACTTATTAGGCAAAAACCTGTTGTTGGTGAAGTGAAGAAAATGAATTTGTTCTAATTGGCTCTTATAGAAAATCCATATACATATTTACAAGCCATCCTAAAATAAATCAAAGACCTACTTCTTCATTTTTCTTGATCGAATAAGAAATACGTATTTAATAAATATTATTTATTCAAAATCTGAGCTAGATAGGTATAGGAAACCTTAATACAGTTTGAAAGATCATATAAATCTGCTTCGATCTAGTTTAAAAAATACAGGGTGTTGTAATAACGAAGTTTTCATGTAAAATAAATATTTAAAATAGACGAACAATTTTTGATACCCCTGTATACATTAAACGAAGCTATCAATTTTTTTAACCCTTATAATAAATGCCTTATTTTCTGTCCAAGGTTCCAAAAATGAAATAAAATACTGTGTGTTCCATAAGAAAAAATATAACTTTGGCGTGGATCTTAGTTCGGACATACCTCGTACATTTAAAAATAATTTTAAATTATGCACATTGCCTTCCCACGTATAGGTACCCACAAAATATTTTGTTTCTACATCTTTCTGTTTTTGTATAATCAACTGAGGCGAATGAGATGCGCCACCCTATATATTATTTTGCTTCTATAATTGTTTCTTAATTTTATAGGAAATATCACTAGAAGATCGCAAGCGACAGCTTACGAATTGTAAATCAGAACTAGAGGAAATCGACAAAAAGATCGAGAAAGTTAATTTGGAATTGAGTTCTATGGAAATCAAGTACAAAGACATGACAAAAAAGGTAAGTTGTCTTCTACTAAGCGATTTAAATAGGTATAAATATACGCGTTCCAAAAATTAGCTAAAACGTGAGCAAGCCGAATTTGAAAGTTGGAGAGCTAAGGAAAAAGAAGCACAAGACAAAATAGATGAAGATGCTAAACATTTAGAAAAATTTGCTTCAAAGCAAAATTTGTTAGAGGCAAAAATCCAGGAGAGTGTAGAGAAGATTAATCAACTGGGTGCTTTGCCTACGCAAGATCTGTATGGACAATTCGTTAAAATGTCGTCCAGAGCTGTAAGTTTGAACACTAATGACGAAAATACGCTGATTTAAATCTGTTTTTTTTTCTAGCTTTTTAAAGAACTGGAAAAGACAAATAATCAATTAAAGAAATTCAGTCACGTCAATAAGAAAGCTCTGGATCAGTTTATGAGTTTCTCGGACCAGAGGGAAAAACTTCAAAAGAGAATGGAAGAATTAGAACGAGGGTAAGCATACAACGTATATTAGAACATTTTGTTGTATTACAACAGAAAAATACTGTAACTAGTAACATATCCGTTCCTTCCGCCAGCAGATACTGCTTCATTTTTCTTGATAAAATAATAAATACTCTTTTACTAACCTTATTGTAGGTAAATGAAATAAAATAACCTGTTATAAATTTACATAAAGTCCATAAACTAATGTCGATTTTGAAAATAGTTACTAAGTGTCACTAGAAAAATTCCATGGCGGCACCAGCCATCTTCATTACAATTTTATTGAAAAAAAATCGCATTTTATATTACATTATATTATATGCATTATAAAATCTGAGCCAGATAGGCATAGGAAACCCTACTATAGTTTGAAAGAGCATTTGAATCTGCTTCGATTTATTTAAAAAGATAGAGGGTGTTGCATTTGAAATAACGAAGTTTTTATGTAAAATACATATTTAAAATGACGAGCAATTTTTGATACCCCTGTAAACATTTAAGCAAGCAATCAAATTTTTTAGTAAAGACCTTTTTATTTTAGCATGCATATTTAAATATCTATAATTATTTATTTTTATATGTACACACACCGGAAAAGTCTAGGGATATTACAATTTTATCCAGCCATCGTCAGTAATTTTATAATTTGCATTTCTGATATAATAAAATTAAAATAAACAAATAGTTTACAGGACGTATTGGAAATAAAAATTTGAAATTTACCGAATTTTTCAAATTTACCTTGATTTTTATTGAACTCAAAAAAATACACACATTTTTTTTTATTCTAAAATATGAATTAAAAAAAAAGATAAAACCATTTTTACTTAATAAAGGGCATGGCCTCCTCTACTCTTCTTTACAGTCCTACATCGTCTCTCCATGCTCCTGATCAGGTTGTCGATCTCTTCTTGAGGTACAGCCTGCCACGCTGCATTCACGGCCCGAACCAGATCCCTACGAGTTTCGAGGCATACCCATTCTCAAATTTCTTCTTTGGATCGCGTCCCATACGTGCTCGATCGGGTTGAGGTCAGGAGATTGTGCCGGCCAGGGTAAGATGTTTAATTGATGAGCATTGATAAACTCACCACTCTGGCTGTATGAGGCCGTGCATTGTCATGCATGAGAATGAAGTTTCTCCCCAAAATCATTGGCATATGGTAACACGACAGGCTCTAGAATTAAATCACGATATGTGATTCCTGTTAGAAACCTTTCAAGAAAAACGAGATCGGTTTTTCGGCTTAACTGGACTCCTCCCCAGACCATAACTGTTCCACCTTGATAAGGGTGCACTTCCTGAACATGATCCAACCGAATAAGATTTCCCGGTTCTCTCCATACCCTAAGCCTTCTCGAATCCGGATGAATTCCAAAGCGTGACTCATCCGTGAAGAGAACATTGGCCCATTGTTCATTCGACCACTGAACATGATCTTGAGCCCACAATACCTCTCGATTTCCTCTCGTTAAGGGTTGAGCTCTCCAGGGGCGTCTGCTTCTTAAGTTGACCTCTCTTATTCTATTGCGAACAGTGTCAGGACTAACGGTTACATTATGTGTTTCCTGGAGAATTAAACTAAGCTCTGGTGCTATAAGAGTCGGTCTCTGTTAAGATGTCTACGCTCCATAATGTCGTTTAATACTAAATATAGTTATTTGAATGAATTCTGGCCAGTTATCATAAAAACATAGCCAGTACAGGTTAAATTCGAACAATTGATGTTAGGTGCTTTTTATACATTTGACAAAAAATGCACAAACACTTCTGCAAATATCCCAAATTTAGAAATAACTAGTGTGACTACTTCGTTTCAATCGAAGTAGAAAGAATCGGCCTACAAATATGTGGTTGTTTATTCAAAACATTTATTTTTAACTTTAATAAAATGATATCCCTAGATTTTTCCGGTGTGTTTAAATAACTATAATATCCAAATCGGTAGGCCAGATTGGGCCTACCGATTGGGCTACACCTCTGTAACTTTTTTATTATTTTTGAAATTTTCAGAAACAACAATAGAAACAGAGTCCAACAAAGAATAATATCGTTACTCTGTTCATACTCTTACTTTTAATTATTTTGATGTCTGCCAAAGATTTATGTAAGAAATTTTTTTAAATTGTATTGTATGATCAGATCAGTATTAACAGGAAAAGGGTAGAATTATTTTTATTAAGAATATATTTCTTGGGTGCCTAGGCAATATTTTATCATATTTATAGTAATTTAAATAAGTTCTGTAAATTCAGTAATTAAATCATGAATTAAAAAATTTTAATACTTTTAAGATTTTCATAATCAAGAAGTTAAGGACATAATATATACTTCTATATTTTTTTATAAAAAAATGTGTTTATACTCATAGTCAAATAGTCATACAATTCATATCTATTTATAAATCTTATTTTTCGGCAACCAATAGAAATCCTCAGCTTCGGTAAAATCTTTTGGCCATAGCCGATGCCGAAGCTTCGATCGGATACTACCTGTAATTTAAGTGTGTTAAGAATTTATTACGCTGTACTACTCGGTTTGCTGTCAGGGATCGGGTAAAGCGGGTGTGCGGCCGAAGGAAATATACAGGGTGATTCCTGTAAGTCGTGCTTGCGGGGAATGATAGGGGACGTCGAAATATTAATTTTGATATAGCACACTATGGGTCGGAAATGCCTCTTACGGAAGATACAGGGTGTTAAAGTTTTTGAAAAATTAATGATATTCTTTAATAGTTTTTAACAATTGAAGGTATCGTTATAAAATTTTATTATAGAAGTCTACCTAACAGAGACACATTAAATGTAAGAAGAAGAGGTTGAAGTTTTACCAGTGGCGTAGATGTGATACGCATCGGGTAATTTTTTCAAAGAAAAATTGTGCGCCACTGATACAAAATAAAATTTTTGGAGTTTTTTTATTTACTCGCTTTATTTCCAAGAAAAAATGTCTCTTGCAACTTTGTCCTATCTAACACCGTTTTGTCACAGTTTAAAAATAAGTAATTTTTTTAATGAGAATCTTAAATACAGCGAATTATTATAACTAGAGCGCAGAAACACATGTGCATTGTTAGGTCCCTTCATCACTTATATTTTATATTCACTCAAATTTTTTAGAAATTTTGCTTTGTTCAACTTTTTTTTAAATATCTCCCAAACCCTTCAATACTAAGAAACCATTTATGCACCGACGGATAGACGATAGATGTAGCATTCTCATGGCCTCTTTTTCGTTTGTTAGATTTAAATAGGAAGCCGTTGGGAACGATTTAAAGTTGAAATTTTAATCAATTTAAATAGGTCCAGGTTAGAGTTACACACCTTGGGTAACTTTATTACTTTTAAAATTATATATATTATTATAAATTTAAACTAGAAATGTTTTTATTGTTAATAATAAAATTCTTAGTTTTAAGGTAGTTATAATAATTCTCATATTTAACCCAGTGAGAAGAAGTTTTGTCACATTTAGAGAACCTTAGGGAACAGTTATGTATCTGCGTTTTATTGATTTAGGCAAAGGAGGGCCTGATAATGTAACAACGACGTCATCTAGAACACATTTCTCTTAACGGAATAAAATGCTCACTGGGGAGGTTCTCGTTAAAAAAATTATTTATTTATAAATTGTGACAAAATGGTGTTAGATATGAGAAAGTTGCAAGAGACATTTTTTCTTGGAAATAAACCGAGTAATTATTAAAAATTACTCGATGCGTATCACATCTACGCCACTGGTTGAAACTAAACCTCTTCTTTTACATTTAAAGTGTCTTTTTTAGGTAGACTCCTATAATAAAATTTTATAAAGATAGCTTCAACTGTCAAAAAAACTATTAAAGAATATCTTTAATTTTTCAAAAACTTTAACACCCTGTATCTTGCGTAAGAGGTGTTGCCCATCATTCACCAAAAGCATGACCCACTTACAAGAATCACCCTGTATATTATATTTCAGAAATCTGCCTAAGGGCTTAGTTTGATCCGGTCGTGTTAAGCCACATCCAAAATTCCAAACACACGTGCTTTGATTAAGGTTTGCAGAGCTTCAGCATTTGCCATAAAATAGCGAGCAATTTGTTACAAAACCATATAAATTATATATCACTGTAATCACAAAACTTCAATCTATTTCCGCATTGTGACGCAATTTTAAATTGTCTTTATTTTCGAGAAAATTTAGTCCAGACATAAGGAATATTTTGTTGCTGTTTGACCATCAAAATCTCAAAGATAAAGAAGTTGTCTAAAAATGTGCTACAATACGGATATAGTATATTCCTTTATCTTTAGTTTCCTTCTTCATTGTGTAAAAATACCTAGCCAGTTTTACATAAAACGTTAAATGCCGAACGCTTATTTTGCTACTTTTTCGGACTAGTGAAATAGACTCTTAAGAAAGCACATAACTTATCGGTCTTACGATATCTAGGAAGCAATCTCAATATGGCGTATTGGGTTATACAGTCAAAATAAATCTTTGTGGTTGAATCAAAATGTGGCGCAATAGGTTCAAATGAAAATATATCAAAAGTAAATAGATAATAGATTTTTTTATCGTTTTTAGGGGTAGTCGTATCCAAGATCTTATAGAAGTTTTAGAAACAAGAAAGGTTGAAGCCATTCAGTTTACCTTTAAACAAGTATCGAAGTACTTTACTGAAGTGTTTAAAAAGTTAGTGCCTGCTGGCAAAGCCAAATTGGTACTAAGAACAGCGGATAGCGATGAAGGACGAGATATAACGCCTGAAGATACAAATGCGGATATTTTTCAAGGTATGTGTTTTTACATCATGCACTTTATCCTTTTGAAAATAGACATGTTTTGATATAAAAAACCCCTACAGGGTGTTCCAATATTCCGTGAACATAAAACTACTTCGTATTTTTGGAGTGTGGAGGTGTCGGTTAGAGGACATCAAATTTTAAATAAACACATTTTTTAAAGTATTTTAAGAATCGTTATTCTGATTTAAATAAGACTTGGGGTGCCTATGTTTTGCTGTGCACTTTAACATTGACTTTCACAAAAAAAATATAAGATTTTTTTTTGTTTGTGCAATTATATATCTATTTTTTTTTCGTTGAACTTTCTAAATACTCGTAAAAATGACTAGAAAGTGTGTTTGGTGTGTCGAAGTTCTAATATAAAAGTCCCCGAATTATCTTTTGATAGGCAAGTAAAGTATTCAGTTGTTCTTTTATTTATATTAAACCACATGCATAGTTTCTGGTTAGATTTCCTAAGAATATTGATATTCGTACGGAGTGGCTAAATGTATTTTTTGTAGAATTTAATTTTTGTGACAGTAAACATTCAATTTATTGTTCAAATATGTGCATTTTACAAATTACATTTTTAAAAGTAATGTTCAAATTTGGCGCGTGAACGATAGGTCCTCGACAAGGATAGGTAGAGTAGAAACACCGCATTTGCAACAAAAAAAGAAGATAAATGGAAGTTGTTGATATGTTTGCGACAGTTTCCATAGTGATTTACTTTTCCAAGTATATAAGATCTCGGATCACAAATGATATTTGACAAAAAGCGTCAAAAATTTTAAATTTATTAACGTTTGGACAAAGAGTAGATAAGACAAGAGACGACAATTCGCGCGGTACCTTTCATGTTTGAGTGGTGGGGAGAGTGACCTCTTCTCGCTTGTCCCTTTAAATTTTCGTAATTTTTTCGCGGGAAATTTGAAATAGACTATTATTAAAACTTGCCTGTATAGCTTATTAATAGTTACTGTATGGGTAAAGAAATAAATAGAAACGAAAAAAATGAGTTTTCTAAATATTATATAAAATAAATTATAATTAGAAACATGTTTGTCGGGGAATAAAGATAATAAAAGTAATATTTTGTATATCGTTGGTAAACAAGATAAAGTGACCAAGTCGATTTGTAAGAAATGTTTTATTTTACGTGTATTTTTTTTACATATGGACTTGAACAAGTGTAAAATCACAATGTGGAGTTTATGTACAAAAAAATAGAGTTGCTCAATTTTTTTTGTAAAAATATATTACAAGCTTCTAACCATGTCTTCGATCTATGGATTACATTTAGTTTAATAACATAATTATATAGTATATTTCTATAAAAATACTTTTCAGGGTCCTTTGGAAAAGAGTGAAATATGTTTGTCGAAGAATAAGACCTATTTTTGCAGTCTTTATAAGCACACACATTGCCACCATCTCGTCTTTTCCTGCTACTCGTGTCCTGTTCAGTATTCATATTTAACAATATTTACAAATTAGTACGCAACAAAAACAATACTAAAATTAGACCTTAAAAACTCTCAAAACGATAATATATCGAAAAACTCTGAAAACACACTTTAAAAAGGCAAAAATGCAAGAAAACAACTAATCAGATTTGTTTATGTTTAAGCCTGATTAGCAATTAGCACAGCTGATTAGCGTCCTAAAATCGTAGGTTAGATTTATGGAGTGTAGAGGTAAGGAGAAATAACTCCGTGCATTAAAAAATGGTCAAAAAAGGGAAGAATTAGGATGGCGCTGCTTGTAGCAAGATTCTAAAATTTAAGACATGCGCCGAACATTTTAGACCAGATGATTCAAGACATAAATATTTGACGTGAAGCAAACGCGAAGCCGCGGGTTTAAAAAAAATACAATTTTATTTTCATGTTGCATGAAATAAATTACAGATTTTTATTCAGCAGCAATAGACTAGGCCCTTTTTTTTATTGTTTCTGATAAGTTATTTCGCAAATGTCATTCAAGACGACGAAAAAATATTCTTATCGTTTTAGCTTAAAATTAATGGTAATTATAATTAAGACAAATTTTATTTAAAGTAATAATTGGTGATGGGTTTAAAATAAATATAATGCAGCTTTAAAATAACTTCATACCTACATTGATTTAGTATAAAAGTAAGTCAATATGTGGTTTTATTATCGATTATTCAGATATCAGAGCCTCTTTTTATTGTTTCTCATAAGTTATTTCGTAAATCTCATTCAAGATGAAAAAGCTTTAGTTTAAAATTAATGTTAATTATAATTAGTAAAACTTTATTAAAAGTTTAATTGATGATATGGGATTTAAATAAATATAATGCAGGTCAAAAATAACGTAAAACATTTTATTTAGTATAAAATTAAGCCAATATAATATAATTTTATACTGTACAAGTGTTTATTTACGTTTTGCCATCGTAGTTGCCATTCATTCAGAATAGTGGATTTTAAATGTTCGATAGTCGGATGGCTTAACTACCTTAATATCAACTACTTCTAGACAAGAATCGTGTGCAGTATTATCTTCTTTTTCACTCCCAGCTATTCCAACATGGCTTGGGACGTGAAATAATAATATAATTTTATAGCCCTTCCAGATGCTCATGTCTTCCTTGTAGTTCACCCAATAGAATCGTTCTCGCAGCTTCCTCCCAAGTTGTATTCATATAGTAGTAGCTATTCATTCAGAATAGTGGATTTTAAATATATTTGGTAGTCGGATGGTTTAACTATCGTAACTATAACTACTTTTAATAATTCTCTTTCTCAATTCTTTGCACTATAATTTGCATCCCACGTATTGTAATATTTTCCTTTGAATTTCGTTTCCTATTGTTCCATGGCTTGAGACGTAATATTATAGCCCTTCCAGATCCTCATGTATATGTCCCTTTTCCTTGTAGTCCACCCAATAGAACCTTTCTCTTAGCTTCCTCTCAAGTTGGTAGTTGCCATTCATTAAGAATAGTGGATTTTAAACATGTTTTGTACTCGGATGGTTTAACTACTGTAACATCATAAATAAATTGTATACCAACACATAATGGCCAAACTTCAACAGACTTTAATATTCATAAACCTCATCAGAAGAAAATATTTTTTGATCCAAAGTTTCTTTTTTCCTTATTAGAATAAATTACCTGCAATTTGTTAATTCATTACAACATTGAATAAAAGATGCAAAGTGTTTATACATACTATAATAGATAAATCTTCATTTTAAATTATGTGATAGATCTGCTTGCTTGTAGGATCTAGACTCATAAACTCAATAATTTCTTTTATTGATATAACCAATAAAGTGGTAATGCTGAAATTTTGTTTTTGATTTGAGCAGTAGGGTCCATTATGTCCATTATTTGATGCTGTTATTGCTCTACAAAATGTTGATCTTTATCAAGGGATGTTTATGTGTATAATATTATTATTTATGTGTATAATAATACTGTATGATCGAAAAAACACGGCGTCCAGTTGGCTTGGAAATGAACATCTCGATGACATTCTCCATATCATTTTACATATAAAATGACAGCAATCTTCATTTCATAGGCATCGCTGACACCATTTTTTATTCGATCAAATTGTACTTACGTGTATAATATTCATTTAATGGGTCCTGTTGTAGTTGCTGGTGTTCATATTTTGGTTTTTTATTGTGTTGTTGCTCTACAAAATGTTAATATTTATGTGTATAACATTACTCTTTCTGTGTATAATAATACCGTATGATCGAATAAAAACGGCGTCAGCGATGGCTATGAAATGAAGATCGCTGTCATTTTATATGTAAATTTATATAGGAAATGCCATCAATAGTCATTTCTAAGCCAACTGGACGCCGTTTTTATTCGATCATACGGTACTTATGTGTATAATATTCATTTAATGGTGCCCTTCTTGCTTGTTGCTGTTGTTGCAATTCAGAATTTAAATTAACCTGAGGCAGTAGGTAGAGCTTCATCCTCCAATATTTTCCTACGTAAATACTGAAGTGGACAGTATTTCTGATGACAATTTTATCACAAACTTTAACATCTTATTCTTTAAAATGAAACTGCCATACCTTATCTGTAGATTTCAAAGCAATATCTAAATGCTTTTGACCATCACTGTAATCTAATTCTTGTCTGAAAATCAATACCTAATATTATCCTGATGATTTTGATTTTTGATAGATTATTAAAATACAGCACTTACAGTTAACTATATTTCTTGAAAGTACCTACAATTTTATGTATTTCCTACTTTTACTTGTTTAAAAAAATGCCAACAATTTGTGCATGTCTGTCAAACTTTAAAATCATTAAAAATAAATTTTATTTAGGTTGTAACTTTATAAAAAGGATTGTAAAAATATACTTTGTAACATGTATGTCAATAATCTTACGAAAAATGTTTGGTAACCAAATGTTTACTACACTTTTGATTGACTCTAATTTTTACATATAATACAAATAATACAATACTGAATTATATTATGTATTTTACATACCGTAAGTAGGCTTTGCCTTTGCTCTTTATTTTTCCATCAGCTATTCAATCAACTTCGCACCACACACACTTTAACCATTGTTAAATAATAAATAAAGCACAAAATATTGATAAACAATAATTATTTTATATTCAAAAACTCTGTCTGAAATATAAAAACAAAATTTTTTTGGTTAATGTTGTTTGGTTATATTTATTTTTATTCTCTTATCTATGGTTACTTTTCATTTTTTAGAATCATGCGTTTTTAGCGCCACTGTGGTTATTTGGCGAACCTTTATTCTTCCCATTTTGTGACCACTTTTTCAATAAAAGTCCCGTAAGAGTTATTTCTCCTTACCTCTACACTCCATAGTTAGATTAGATAAAATACGCCGTTGTCAGATTTTGAGATTTTATCTGTTTATCTTTGAAATCGATCAACTTAGTCATTCTGTTTCTTTGATATTATCAGTACATTGCGACAAAAGAACTTAAACCAACCTAAACTAAAAATTTACATTTCCGTATTAACATACGTTACTTATATCCACCTTATATTCTTCTTATATTATTAATTTATTTTCAGAAAATCTTGTTTATTTTTCAAAGAAATATACTTGGCAACAGACAAAATGCGACTTGATAGGACCTTTAAATTTTAATATATCTGCGTCTCTCTCGCGAAATTCGACTTGTTGTTCACTGTCGTCTTTTGTCTTATCTACTCTTTGGTTTGGATTTATTTTTGATTGATGCCCTCTAACGGATAAACAGGGCATTTTTGTATAGAGGAAAATTGTATGCAATTACCTTATTATATTTTGATTCAAAAAATACGTAGTTCTATGTCCACGGAATATTGAAATTTTCTGTATATTTTGTGGGTCTGCGTTGGAAAAAAATTCTTCAAGAACTATGCGGTGTGGCGATTTTTTAAGAAGCAAAAATTATAGTAAATATAGACCTATTTTACAAGAAAAAAATCAGTCCTCGGTAGAGTTGGGATACATTTCTATGTAGGGGGGGGGGGTAGATTTTGTTAGATATTAGATAATAAAAGGTACAACTTGGAACAATGTGATTTTTATTTAACCGAAATAATTAATTTTGTTCTATTACGTTTTGTACGTGATACTCTTTCAGACTAATTCAAAAATTCCACTATAATAATAAAAAATATAATATTAAAAACAACTGCTTGGTATGCATTCTTGTCGAATTCCCCAAACCGATAGCTGATAAGATATGAATCAAATAAACTTGTTTAGTTTTAGACACCGCACAAAAACTGTTTATTTAAACTTAAATTATTAATGTTGAATATAAGATTCCAACACACAGATTTCACATTTTCCGTACTTTTTCTTGTATAAGCCCTTATACATAGGCACCCCAAATCTCATTCATATCTGTATATTGGTTCTTAAAATCTTAAAAAATGTGTTTATTTTTTTAAGTTTTATGCCTTCTAAAAAACTAAGCTCTTGTGCACAATTTACCTCTACCGGGTGCGTCTGAAAAGTTGCTCACCCCTATAACTTTTTTATTTTTTTAAATAAAAAACGAGATTTAGTGTGTTAGTATATGACTTAAATTAGGATTGATTGGCGTATTCAATTGTTTTCAGTCACTTCCTGTTTCACCGGGAATTACTACAACTTTTGATTTTCAAATGGCAACCTCTGTATTTTTTTACTCTATTAGATAGAAAATAACCCTCTGAATAGAATAACGTATCGCATGTCAACTTTTGACATTTTCGCATATGGGTTATTTGACATAGTAATTTATTTGGACATTTTTTAACCAGCCAGAACAAGACACGAAAAACATTAGACAATCAAATCTATTATTTCAAGGCTCCTTGATTTGAAAATTAGTGTTTTCAACACAGCCACGATACTCTAGATTGAAATTTAAAATACTATTTTTGTAAGCGAGAATGTCAATAGTTGACATATGATATGTCATTCTATTCAGTGTCATTTTCTATCGAATAAAGTAAAAAAAATACCGACGGTGCCATTTAAAAATCAAAAGATGTAGTCATTTCCGATGAAACAGGAAGTGACCAAAAACAATTGAATACGTCAATCAATCCTAATTTATGTCATATAGTAACAAAATCTCGTTTTTTTATCTGAAAAAAAAATTAAAAAGTATGGGTGAGCCACTTTTGAGACGCACCCGGTATGGGGTAAATTGGGTCCAATGAACTTACTTTGTTTCCAAAAATACGTGGTAGTTTTTTGTTCACGGAATATTGGGACACCGTGTATATTGTTTTTTCAATAAATTCTCTATAGAGTATTGATTTTTTACACAAAACAGGTATATAATACTTTTCAAATGACATTAACACTATTTCTTTTCGTATTCTGGAGATTCATCTGTAAAACCATGTAGTAATATCTTTCATAAAGATTATTATAACATTTTCGAAATATCATATAAACTGTCAAAATTTCCATACTTCTATTTATATAGGTATTGGAGTGCGTATATCATTTACCGACGCCGATGTGGAAATGAAAGAGATGAATCAGCTCTCTGGCGGTCAGAAGTCTCTAGTCGCCTTGGCTCTCATTTTCGCCATTCAAAAATGCGATCCCGCTCCCTTCTATTTATTTGACGAAATCGATCAGGCCTTAGACGCTCAGCACCGTAAGGCGGTGGCCAACATGATCCACGAGCTGTCCGGTGACGCGCAGTTCATCACCACCACGTTCAGGCCCGAACTATTAGACCACGCGCACAAATTCTACGGCGTCAAGTTCAGAAATAAGGTCAGTCACGTCGAGTGCGTCACTCGAGACATAGCTCGGGATTTCGTGGAAGACGATCAGACCCACGGTTAGAATGTTGTTTTCTTTTTGTAGTCTGTCCAACAAGAGGATACGTTATAGTGACAGTTTTAGTCATTTTTTGGATGTCGTCTGTCGGAATCTTCCACGACTCGTTGGACAGACTATGCTATACATTATAACTACAATTGTACATATTTTTTGTTTTAGTTCATTGTTTTATTTATTATAACCCGTTTTACAATTGGCAGTTTTACTTGCCTGCAAGAAAAATTGCAGCTTTTCCTATAAAGGTCTGTGCACGTTATCATACACGTATCGTTTCCAGCACGTAGCGTTTACGGTTCTATTAGACAGTCCGGTAGTGACACTAGTCACTACCGGACTGTGTGTTCAAATTACCAATTTCATATATTATGAAGCGTTTCAGTTTGCTTCAGTATTATTTATTAATTTAGCTTATGGCTTTAGTACACATAAAAGTATACTACTATTATCACAGCTGTAGATATTAAATAAAAATAAGAACAAAAATGGTAAATGTCAAACACAAATATAAAAAAGGATAATTTAAAAAATTGTAAAAAACAAACTTGTCACAAACAAACATCTAGTCTCTTTACATAATCAATTGCACCTGGTGTTGCCTTCAGGAAATCTCCAAAATCTCCCTCATACGCCGTAAAGACGCATTCTTCTCTAATATGTCGAACAGTCTATCGTAGAGCTACACAATTACATACCGGAATGGGGGCCTTTCCCCATTTACAGAGACGATCTATGCATCTGCCGTGTTCGGTTCTTCAGCCTGTTTAAAGTTACCTATATCTTGCGAGGCTGCTCAAAACCAGGAGGTACTGTTGAAATACATGTGAAACCCTGACTTTGTGGTGGAGCGTTTTCCATCCACTCGTTCATCCATGGATCATGTAAGTATTTTTTTTTGCTTCAGTAAGATCGTAAAAAACATACTGGATATAAAAGAAACAAGACAAAATTAAATAACAAGATTTGCAATATATCCAGTGTTAAAAGAAGTAATACAATTTTCCACACGATCCTCACCTACCGGCATACGACTGAATATTGTTTACGAGTATACTGATCGGAAACGTTACTTGTATGCGATACGTGCCGGATAGAGTGAATTACTTCCTATTAAAACCACTAAATATTATTTTTCGGAATCAAAACATTACGTTACGGAAACGATACGTGTAGGATCATGTGCAGAGACCTTAATGCATGCGCATTCTGGCAGTTTTGGTAAGATCTTGCACTTGCAGATGATAGATCTGGACCTATAATTTTTCAACTTGCGTGCAACTTTTGCTTATTTTTCTAAAAACCGTTCGGTAATCAAAGTTTCTTACACTTTTTCGTGTCTTATATTATTTAGAATCATAACAAATATTAGATATTTCTGATATAAGTAGGTTTGTGTTCGGAAATTGGTGATGTTTCAGAATTTTTCAAGATGCATCTCAATTTATTTAATAAAGCCATTGTAATGGGTGAGAAATCTAATGCAAATAGAAAAGAATTTGAACTTTCAAGCAAAAATAAGCGGTTTTCAGCTAAATGTTCCATAGAATTCCATTCCATATGTTACACCCGTGTCAAATAAAATTAATGTTAATTATAATGATTCTAATCCTTTGGTTCCTGTCAAGACAATAGCTCCAAATAAAAGATTACACCTTTTACCAAAGTGGAAAATAGAAAAGGAGGCTGGTAAAAGAGTAGAAAAAGCTAAAGCAAAGCCTAATTTGAAGAGTTATCTATATCTCCTAAAGCATATCCGCAGATGTCTCAAGAGCTCTAATAAATGAATAAAGGACTCTATTGTCGCTCTATCGAAAAATGAACATCATCAGTTTGCACCTCCTAATCATAAATTTAAACCTCCAGCTGAAATAAAGCCACTTGATCAATTTGTTATAAATGGGAAACATATGTAGAGTGTCCTGAGGTATCTAAAAAATATCGATCTTCCATAGAGGTCACTATTGGCCAATCAAAATTATTAATTCCAAAGAAGTTTTAATAACGAAAGTTTTAACAAAACATAGGTTTAATTGATCAGTGTTGATCACCAATTGTTGATGAAAAATCAATTACCTGTTCAGATTTACATGATTTTTGGGATATGAGGGTGTCCCAGGCTAAGCGTGCATTAGTTTCACAACGAGATCTATCGATTAAAAATATTCTCAATATGGCGGCACTTCGGGAAATACCGGAAGTTGACAGCAACTTTCTTATTTTAAATGGGTCCCTCAATTTTTTATTATATACTTAAAATTTTATGAACTCGGATATCAAATTTACGAACGGTATAGAGTACCTAACATTAACCGTTTTTGAGAAAAAAAGTATTTAAAATTGGAGAAAAAAAACTGCCTCTCAAATAAATTTGTATAGCCTAAACGTCAAATTTAGTGATTACCACAGCCACTGAGATATATAAAGAGACCACAAGAGTGAGATATATAAGCCACCAGACCATAAAGAGAAGACATGTGGCTATCTATTTCAAAAATTAAATTGTTTGAATGTCGTATAAAATCGGCTGTAGCTGTCATGGAATTGAGAGATTAAAAAACAATCATAAATCATTTTTTTCAAATGGAAACCTACTTTTTTATTTCATTAATGGGAAGGCTTTTTAATTCGTTATGTTTTGATACATGTTCGTATACCTAAAATATATCGTTTTTAAGTTATTTAAGATTTAGTTTTATAGCGTATATTTTTCTGGTTTTTAACCAGTAGCCTATGACTTTAAACGTCAAGCGATGTAAAACTATATCTGGCCATGTCATATTGGCATTAGATATCACCAAAATACGAGAAGTATTTTTATAAATTCATTTTATAAAGTTTTAGCAGCAGTATTTATAATATACGAAATTCAAATTAGTTTTTAACAAAAGGAAATAAATTGTCTGATGGTTTGGCACTTAAGGTCACAGGAAGATAAAATCAAGAAAAAATATGCTTTAAAACTAAATAACTTAAAAATGATCTATTTTAGGTATAGGAACATTATAATCAAAAAGTGATGAATTGAAAAACCTTTTCACTAGTGAGATAAAAAAAGTGGGTTTTCATTTGAAAAAAGGAATTATGATTATTTTTTAATTTCTCAATTCCATGACAGCTACGGCCAATATTATATGACATTCAAACAATTTATTTTTTTAAATAGATAGCTACATGTCTTCTCTTTATGTCTCAATTGCTGTGGTAATCACTACATTTGACGTTTAGGCGATACACATTTTTTTTGACAGGCAGTTTTTTTCCTCCAGAACTTTTATTTTTTTTTCAAAAACGGGTAATGTTAGGTATAGAGTGTTTGATATCAAAATTCATAAAATTTTACAGAGAATTTAAGTATGTAATAAAAAATGGGGGTACCCATTTAAAATAAGAAAGTTGCTGTCAATTTCCGGTATTTTCGGAAGTGCCGCCATATTGAATATATTTTTAATCGATAGATCTCGTTGTGAAACAGTGATATGCAAAAAATCTCCGATCTAGATATTGTAGTTCTCCAGAAACTTCTAATGAACGCTTAGCCTGGGAATCCCTTTATATGAAGAGGTCAGGGGAAAAAAGCATGTGAGTCAATTTTTTTGCTATATTTAAATATTCGGTGCATTCGGTTCAGAGTGAGTGTAAGCATCTTTAGAAACCGCTAAACTGGGAAACAAGCAGCTTAGTCAAAGTGTCAAAGTTATACCACAGATTAGGTATCCTATAAGTATACAGATAAAAATCTTGTCCCTAATTCGTGGTACGAAAATTGTTTTTTATGACGATGTGCAAACGAGTCAAATTTCCTGTGCGCAAAAATAAACTCGCGTAAAATAACAATAAACAGCGTAATAGAGAGATATCGCTAAACCGAATAGTGTACATGGACGTTAATAAGGCCGGTGTTATTTCCTTTACGTGAGGTGGTATTAACTCTCTTCATTTATAGTTATCGGATCGGAAAGAACTCTGTTCGCGTCGCGTCCGCTATTTAAACTTAACCTAACTTTGAATTTAAAACTTTGAAATTGTTTTGTTTACTAGGTATTTTAAAACTAAAGGGCTAAAGTGCTTATTTCCAGTGCTTTATTGTTCAACGTCTGCCAGTGGGTTTAGGACAACAAGCAACAAATTCTCTTAGAAGGGCTAAGTCGTCATCTGTTGTAAACCTAAGACTCTTTATAGGTTCTTTAGTATTGGAAGAGGTGGAATCCATATTTTGGGCCATATTTATTTAATTAAAATTAATCCCAGCTACTTAAATATCAAATTACCTAATAAAACTAAAGCAATAATTCAAAACAATTCAAACATAACCTAAAATAAAAGATCTCGCCGGCCGGCTCCGGTTGTCAAATATCCGCACATGCCCATTTAAGTAATTTTTAAACGTTATCAGAGGTTACTTAGAAAGACCGCTTAGTGCTCTGCTTAGTGTAATTGATCTGAAAATTACGACAGGCGGTAACGTTATTAGTGGGTGTTGCGTTAAAAATTGACTCGCGCATATCGTAACCATGATAAGGTACGCGTAAATACTGGATGACGCTATTCGGTTTTCCGACATCTCTCTAATAACTGTGCCGGTCAGGCGCTGTGCACAATTTTAGAGGCCATAAGTGGGCGTGCTATGTGCGCAAACTAGTTACCTAACTAGTGCCCGATTCCGAAAATTGAAACCACGAAAAACAATAAAGAAAAAACAAAGATTATAATCTGTATAATCTGTCGTTATACTATAAAGGAAAAAAAAGCTGGCAAGTCAAGCAAAAAAGAGAAAAGAGCTAGTCATTTCGTTGTTGAGTTTGTACGTTTTGTATGTTACAATTTACAATGGTATGGTTTGGTTTGGTTAGGCAATTGGCTTTTCTAGTTATTTTCAGATTACCAATTGCTTAACATAACTTCCCATGTATATTTTTAGTGACATTTAATAAGTTACATTAATTTGTTAAATAATTGTCATTAATAGATAAACAAACAATAAATACCAAGTACAAACGATCAAAAACAAGTCAAATACGAGAAAGTGACAAATGAAGCGATACAGCTGATAATCGTCTAATTTCCGTTAAGTTGGTCATTCTGTATGAGACAAAAATATTCCAATAAAAATTGGTGTAACTTTTCTCGCACGCAAGTAAAATTACCAACTGTAAAACGGTTTTATGTAATGTAATGATTCATTCCGTTTCGTAATTTCAAAGTTCTGACAGAATAAATTTATAAACTAGTTTTTAAGTAAAAATTTATAAATACAGGGAAGTTCCTTATCACTTGCTAATATTTAAGGGAGTGATTTCTGGACCTATTCTAAAAAATAAACTTCATATGAATGTATGTCCTATACATCTTAATTTCTGAAATACGAGGTGATAAATTTTTCTAATTTTTTTTAATGACTGATTTTATTATAGATATTTTTATGAAACTTGATACACGTCTTCTATGCATCAAAATACTTGTTTTAATGCCGTCCATACGGGTTTTACATTGAATATTTTTGGGGAGAAAGAAGTGGTACACCACTGACTTCTCTTAAAATTAAAATTATCAAAATCTCCTTTCATTTCAAAACATTTTTATCTCTTTTTTTATTTCGTCCGTTGCGACGCATAGATAGTTTTTGCTTAAAAAGTCACTTTGCTTCAGGGTCAAATCGCTGAAAATATGATGCGGTGACTGTTGTGTGGAAATCATTTCTGCCTTGGCTGGAAGGAACCTAAGAAATAAAACATTTTTTGTATATCAAAATAAGCATTTTGATGCATCGAAGACGTGTATCAAATATAATAATATATGCCATCAGAGATATTTTGCAAAAAAAAATAGAAAATTTTACCACCCTGTATCTTAAAAGTTAAGATGTTTAGGACATATATTAATATGAAGTTTTTTTCTTAGAATAGGTCCAAAAATCACCTTAAATATTAGCATGTCATTAAGGAACACCCTGTATATGGTTTGTTCCACGAAAGAATATTATGAATTAGTATAATTAAGTAAAGGGCATACTGTTTTTTTTCTGTATTTTAATTGTTTGTTCAATTCCTATATGCCATCGCGGTTCAAATTATATTAAAGTTGATGTTATATTTTATTGCTAAATATTATAGTTTAAATGTGCTATATGGTTGTAAAGAAATTGTCGAATTTACTTACCTGAAAGGTTTAATTAAGATCCAAACTACTTGTATAGATCTCAAATATCAATTAAATTCGTGTTTATAAAAATAATATATTTATTTTATTTCCCCCCTAACCCCTCTCATGTATGGTTGATTATTTGTTTATTAAATAGGACCTCTATACAGGGTGCTACAAATTCGAGGTACGAGCGTTGGTATCTCGGAAACCGTAATAGATACGAAGATGGTAAATTGGGGCAAAGTTGCGCCTTGGGATGTTCACCAAGATGTCACCAAAAAAGCTTTAAAAATTTCAGGGATTACCGAGTTTTTTGGAAAAAACGAATTTTTTGGAAAATCTTTTTTATTTTTTCCTGATGTTATTTTTTAGAAAATCAGAAATCCAATTGCAAATTCTCATAGCCACTTTATTAGGGCTATCTGGTAGTATTTTTAGATTTTCAAATTAGCTGACAATTTGTGAGATACAGAGGCCAGCTTAATTTTTTTAAATACGGACCTGCATTTTTTATTTCAGGTTTTGAAACAACTCGGTCTCCTGAGTACAATGATATGCCAAACCTTATACTTTTTTTGTTTTGGGTACCTTAACAACAACAAAACTAATTATTATTATTTAAAGTAATTTCAAATCCGACTCTGTTCTTTTAAATTATTTAATCTGATTATATTCATCGCAACAATATTGATCAGCGCTAATTAACATTGAATAAGGAAAATCGAGCCAATTGAAAGATAGATTCAAATTAATAATATCCAGGTCAGCAATTTAAAGATATTATTTTTAACTTTTTTTTATTGTGAATTTGAAATATCAGTGTAAGATCTAATAATATGCATCATATTAATCTTAGTTATTATAAATAAGTCAACTTCTACAAACTACTTTCTAATGCTCTACATGTTTGAAAGGGTTACCACTTTTCCTATTGTTCAAATTTATTATTCGTTCAATTTTATTTATTGCTATTTGAGTATATCTTCTTATACCGCATGATCAAAAAAAAAACGGCGTCCAGTTGGCTGGGAAATGAACATCAATGACATTTCCCATATAAAATGACTGCGATCTTCATTCCATAGCCATCGCTGACGCCGTTTTTTCTCGATCATACGGTACTTCTAAATGAATTTTGTAGTCTTTATTGTAAATGTTGAAAAATATTGACTTGGTTTGGTTTGGGTTTCTTATTTTTTATTGAATTCGATTTTCCATATTCAATGTTTTACCCCAAGTCATAAATCCAATATTGTAACGATTAAATATTAAAAAAAAGAGCCGGACTTTGATTAGTTTAAATAAATAGTGTCCGAAACAAAAAGAAAAGTATAAAATGTGTCATATAATTGTACTCAGGAGACCTAGTTCTTTCAAAAACTTAAATAAAAAATGCAGGCCCGTACTTAAAAATAATTAAATCGGCCTCTGCATCTCACAAATTATCAGCTAATTTGAAAATCTAAAAATACTACCAGATAGCCCTAATAAAGTGGCTATGAGAATGTGTAATTAGTTTTTTGATTTTCTTAAAAGTAACGACAGGAAAAAATAAAATTAATTTTCAAAAAAATCCGTTTTTTCCAAAAAACTCAGCAAACCTTGAAATTTTTTAAACTTTTTTGATGGCATCTCGGTGAACATCCCAAAACGGCAACTTTGCCGACTTTAACCACGTTCGTATCTATTACGGTTACAGAGATACTAATGCTCGTACCTCGAATTTGTAGCACCCGTATATTTATAGATTTATTCTAACAAATAAATGTACTTTCGAGAAATAAAGAGCTATGTTTTTATTTACAAGCTAAGTTGAAAAATATTTTAAGTGAATTGCCAATTGCCAGTTATTAATTTGTGATTTTATTTATAGGGATTAAAGTGGGACGTCTGGACCCCCCAGTTGCCCCATAGAGCCGCCTATGGTGTCAGCATTGTTTTTTTTTTTAATATTTTCGAATTAAAACTTAAGACAACTACTATAACAATGAATAAACTGAATTCCTCGTTGAACAGACGATAAGAAGACATAGATTCAAAAAATAAAATATGTTGAAAAAAACGGAATCAGCGATGGCTATGAAATGAAGATCGCTGTCATTTTATATGGGAAATTATCGATCGTCATTTCCAAGCCAACAGGACGCCGTTTTTTTCGATCATACGGTATTTAAAATAATAAATTTATAATTCGATTCATTTGCCCATCTCTAATATCAGTTACAAATTTTTCCAGATCATATATTTTTTTATATATGATCTACGATATTTATATGATATTTACTTACTAAATTAGTGAGGTTATATCTTTTCAAAACAACGAAAACACGATACACGGTTTAAATTTTTCTTATTTTCTTTTATTTTAAAATACAATGCCTAGATTAAGAAAACAACGAAGAAGGAAAACTTATAAGCATAATATAAACAGAAAAAGATTACGAAATAAAATAGAAGGTGTTGGAAATATTAGTTGGTAAGTTAAAAAATGTTTGATACCTAAAAACTGTCCACACCAGATTATTATTGGTAAAATAGACAATATAATACAGTAATTTATTGTTACAGTGTTTGTGTAGTTATTTTCAAAACACATATCCACGTATATATTTTTTTAATTTCTGGTGTTTTGTTCCTATTCTTTTTTTAATGCAGATTGTTCTTCGTTATTTTATAGGATCTACTTTATTAACTTTAAAACTTAATAATTATCATCTGATATGCATCCCGGGTCGGCATTTCAGGTATTGGGTGCCGATTTATAATTCCTTTTCTAATAAATGTAATAATATCAAAAAATGTGCAGCACAGAATGTAACTGTACAGTTTTTAAATGAATGCTGCTTCAGTGTGGAAAGCATGTTTATAAAAATCGACAAGCTACAAGCCTTTACACTTTACATACATTTAGACACCTGTTTACCAAAGTTTCTTTGGTGTGTACGCCCCTCTAGCCTCTATTAAATTGATTTTTTATATGAAAAGTGTGGGTTTAATTTATATTGTACAGGATGGGTCAAATTCGATGCTTTTAAAGGGAAACACCCTTTTCTATAGTCGATAGACAAAAACTAATATCGGTGTCTGGAGCTCAATTTTTATCAAAAATATGTTGGTGAAAACCGCACGTCGATATCTATTACCGTTTATGGGTTACGGGGTGTTTTTCAAAAATATGCATTTTTAACAAATCGCTGTAACTTTTTTTGTATGGAAAATTTTGTATTTTTGTGAAAACATTTGCAAAGCACTTTTTTACGTAGAATTTAATGGTTTAAGTATATTTTTTAAGTAAATAATTTAAGAATTATCAGCAGAAAAATTGATTTTTTATTGGGGGCACCCTGTATATTTTTAATTAAGTGAAAATAACTTAAAATTACCTTTACAAAAATATATATATAGCACACTTGATATTTTATTATAGTCCCCTTCGAAATACAAAGTTTTTATGAGTTCGCCACTTTTAACTTGTAGGCTTTGAACCCCTTATTGATGATCTGCCTCTAATGAAATTCGAAAACATATTTTTCCAGCAAGACGAGGCACCGCCTCAAAACGCTGAAGTTATCAGCAAATTTTTGCAGCCAATTTCGAGAATAATTGAATAGCTAACCAAGATCCCAGCCGTTGCCCGTCGAGGCCGCCGGACTTGCCTGTTATCCTTAGTTGATTTTTTATCTTTGCTGAAGAATAAAGGTTCTTATTTTAAAATTGCCCGTATAATCTAAACAAGAATTAGAAGTACTTAGCGGTTAGGCGAGCGTATCTTTCACCCTCACTCAGTTAATGAATTCCGCGAGAAATGTTCAAAAAGGGTCCCGTCTGTCCATAACAAAAGACGGTCGACATTTAGAACACGTCTTGGTTCGCTATTAATTTTTATTGTTATGAGATATAGTTTAAATATGTTGATGTTGTTAAATATAGTTTAAATTGTTATAAAATTCTGCATCTCTCATTGTAAATATTATTTTCGTTTTAATTGCTGCTCACAGCTAGAATTTTTTTGCATTACAGCCAGCGTCGTTCAAAGCCTAGCTACTTATTCAAAGTGGGCGAATTTTTAAAAACTCTATATCTCGAAGAGGAATCGAACAAAATATGAAGTATGCTATATTTGTGGAATGGTAATTTTAAATTATTTTCAACTAATTAAAAATATACAGGGTGTTTGGTATATATTCCATATTCCATATAAAAAATCAAATTTTTTGTTGATAATTCTTAAATTATTAATTTTAAAAAAATGATACTTAAACCATTAAATTCTACGTAAAAAGGTGCTTTGGAAATATTTTCACAAAAATACAGAAACGGTAAAAGATATTGATGTGCGGTTTTCGCCATCATGTTTTTGATAAAAATTGAGCTCCAGACACCGATATTAGTTTTTGTCTATCTCCTATAGAAAAGGGTGTTTCTCTTTAAAAGCGTCGAATTTGACCCACCCTGTACAGAGTCAAATGCATGTAAGGTGTGAAAAATGAATTGGCACTGTGCACCTCTCACCTACTAAAATGAGCAGCCTTCACATTCTCGGTTTTAACTACTATAGTTACAAAAATGCAATTAAATTTATTCTTGTATATCTTTAAATCGTTGTGAGAAAATATGGTGTTTTATATCTCTTTATTTTACACTTTGACAATAGATAATACTAATTTCATTCTCGACTTAAGACTATTTCCGAACAATAGTGTATTGTGTAAGGAGTAAAAATTATACTTTTTTTGACGAGGTTGTACGTTTGACGGACCAGCGTAAACAGGAGGGCACAAAAATACATTTTTACTCTGAGTAGAATATGCTATATTTTTACAAATTAAACATTACAAATAATTTTTTGATCAATTTCAAACGTTGCAAATAATATAAAAAGTAATGCTTTGTAAGTAATCGAGTAACAATTTGTACACTCGTTGAAATTGACGCTTAATATCAGTTTAATAATATATTTTTGTACTTTTGTGCTTAGGCGTAAAAGTGCTTTACTTTTATGCCTAGACGTTGAAATGACAAAAATTAATACTCTTGTGGCATTTCAAAAAAAATCCTTTTGATCTGATGCGAGCGACTTTTTTTGCGGAAAATATTGGTGACGGATGAGGGAAAATGACGCGACGTAGCGTTGTTAATGTTGTCAGTATTAGACAGAGTTATGAAGATTTAGCCATTTAGGATAGGACTTTAATTGGAATTAAGTCCTAATTATTTGGAAATCCGATTTAAATAATGTTTTCTATTAAAGTCAAAAAAAATCAGATTTAAATAAAAAAAAATCTGATTTAAATCAAAAAAATCTGATTTTTAGCTGACCATACATACCAATAGGCTATTAGGATCGACAAAAAAAAAGCTTTTTGAATTTCACTCAAAATGAGTTATTTGGGTCATAAATGACCTAAATACAAAATATTTTCATGGTGTCTGTCTGTCTGTCCGTCTGTAACACGATAACTCAAAAACCGCTGAACCGATTTTAACCAAATTTGGCACAAAGATACTGTGGCACCCGAGAATCTGGCCATTAGATTTTGGTGGGGGTAGGGGGTTGGTAAGGGGGTATGGGAGGGGGTTATAAATTTTAAAAAATAGTAGCTCCAAAATTACAGTAGCTAAGGAAACGCGGTTTTCAAATTAAGATTAGGAATAATATTTGCAACAAAATTTGTAATAACATCAAAATCAGTCAAAGTCGCAGTTTTCGAGATATTAACATATTTTAGTATGGGCTGCTATGCGTGCCTCCCGGCGCCAATTTTTTTTGAACATTTTGCTGATATTTTTTTAATTCTTTCACTGCTTAAGGTAATAGATTTATTATCTTTTTCAAAATATACAAATTTTTAAAATCGTCGGTGAAATGTGATAAACTGCTAACTCCATTATTTCTAATTTTACAGGAGAGCAAAAAAAGGTACAAAAAAATATGTACCTGTAGGAAATATTTTCATGCGTTAATATGATAAAGAGATGAGAATTTTATTTGCTGGGGAACAATAAAACTCAATATTTCGTGTTACATAATTTTTTTCAGACACAATAGGGAGATAGCAGATATTCGTCTTGCAGAAATAAGAAATAAAAATATACTTCTGGAGATAGCAACCTTTATTGTTTGAAATTTTGAAAATGGAATTGAATATTACCCAAACAGATTTAGAAATAATGAATTAAATTTAAAAAATATGATATTCATAACCATATATTTAGAATATCGGTCGGTATATTAGAATCGTCGGTCTAGAAGCAAAACATACAAGTCCAAAAACGAATAAATTTTTAAAGAACTGAAGTAGCAGCATTTGAAAAGAATTTAAAAATTAAACTTATAATTCTTAGAAGATATGGTAGAATCCTTCCATGCTTATCCTAATTTTTATATAACGGTAGAGAGTAGACCGAGCTTGAAAAACAGTGCGTGATTTTATTAAATTTTTATTACTTTTCTCCTTATTTTTTTAATTTTTATAAAAATGATGTATCATTTACGTGGAAAAACGTTGAAAAAAATAAAACTGATTAGGTATTATGGAAATTCTTGTACAACTAAGTAATGTTATTTAAAGTATTTATAGCACGCCGATGAATTGCTCGTTTCGAAATATGGCGCGGTCAACATAATAGTGCAGTTTCAAGTGAAAAACGGTTGTACCAAAGTGTTTAAGAAGTGGATTACTGGCCAAAAATGACATGTTGGTAAAATTTTGGTTTGAATAATTGTTAATTTTATGATTGTTCAGTATTAAATCAAAAATTAGATGTATTTTGCAATTAATAACCTACAAAATATTATTTACATTTGCCCCTGAAGAAATTAGTGTTGGGGTAAATGTAAATGACTTAAATAAGGGTAAATGTAAATACGAAATTAATGTGATTAGGTAGTGGTTTTGTTTCAGAAATGCCACGAAATTACATAAAAAGGCCTGCGTCGTCACACCCCTGAAGTCATGGCTAGAGATAGAAGATATTTTTGAACAAGAAATAGAAGTTACCAACAAGTCGAGGACCACTATAGTATTCCAAAAGCGGTAGTTTTAACAGAATTAAAGGGCGAAAAACTACAATTAACAAGTGGTCTGGACGGTCTGGCGCTTAGCTTTGATATCGAACGTGATTTAGAAAACGTATTAGGGCGCGAGCACGAATGGGCATTCTATGTGACAAAGAAGATGTAAAACAAGTTGTGGCTGAATATGTGCGTGTAACTAAAAACCCAATTTGTCAAAAGGAACCCCTGGAGATAGTGGTACTATTCATTTATGAAAAAAGCATCAGGATTGTCAGTTAAAGAAACCAAGTTGCTACAAAAAGTGCAGAAAGATTCCAGGGATCGCCTTCGTCGTTTATGATTTTTACACCGACCTGGTCCAACTTTTTGGAGAAAACACATTGGAGAATAAACCAGCTTTTGTATTCAACTGTGATGAACTGGAACATTTTGCGATCCGACTAAATTCAGGCGGTGGG